CCATGACCCACACACCCTCACCAAGCCCACATCATCAATAAAATATAATATACATCTTCTTGGTTCTTTCGGTAAAGCCACGTAGAAGGGAAACAATAAAATAATGAAAATATAAAACAATACAATTTTCACGACGTTTCGACTGCAACACAAGCAATCATCATCAGGTGTGAAAACCACAGCAAGAAATTGTTTTTCTTTTTTTATTGTTTTATATTTTTATTATTTTATTGTTTCCCTTCTATGTGACTTTACCGAAATAACCAAGAATATGAATCCCTGCAGTCACGAAAGCTTTAAATCAAAATACAATATACATCCTTATCGCAATCACCACGGTAATTATTAATCAGCACTGCCACGTCCATAATAAGGGACATCATCGTCAATACCACCACCAGCAGCAACTTCATCATCACACCATCGTCACATCACATCATCATATCATCATCACACATCATCATATCATCATCACACATTATCACATCATCATCACCACATCATCATCACATCATCATCACATATCATCACACATCATCATCACACATCATCATCACACATCATCATCACACATCATCACACCATCATCACACATCATCACACATCATCACCACATCATCATCACACATCATCACACATCATCACACCATCATCATCACACATCATCACACATCATCACACCATCATCACACATCATCACACCATCATCACACATCATCACCATATCATCACATCATCATCACATCATCATCACACATCATCATACCATCATCACACATCATCATCACACATCATCACATCATCATCACACATCATCATCATACATCATCACACCATCATCACACAACATCATCACACATCATCATCACACCATCACACATCATCACACCATCATCACACATCATCATCATACCATCATCACACATCATCACACCATCACACATCATCACACCATCATCACACATCATCATCATACCATCATCACAAATCATCACACATCATCATCACACCATCATCACACATCACACCATCATCACAAATCATCATCACAAATCATCATCACATCATCATCATGGGTGTTTCTGAGTTGTGGAGGGGTGGTAACACTCCCACCTGCTGGTCGCGTACCGCAACTGATTCATGTACGCGGTGCATAACAATACAATAATTATAATCATGCAGAAAAATGCCGGATTAAGTCGGGGATGCATTTCTGAAAGGTGCGATGACGAATATCGAAACGACGTAAAACGAAGCGGTTCAACAGGGCACGCATACCTACCAACTCCGTATCAGTGCCCTACCTTATTACAGAACTATTCAGACCACCCCGTGCCCCTTATAAATCTCAACGTTCATCCTACAAAGTCCCATCACAAAGGAGAAACACAGACACATTGACACAAACCGCGTAAGTGATACTTACGCGATCTAACCCCCGAAAAACCCCAATAATATTTACGCGATTTAACCCCCAAAAAACCCTGCATTATGGATGACATTGGTGGAGAAAGCCGACGCGTTGAAGATACATGAACAATGTTGTTGGCCAGATTGAAACGCCTTGTACCGCCGTATGGGCCTGACAACTCAACATGCCTGCACAAGAATAGGGGGTTGAAACCGTAGGGGTCCGATAGCTGTGGGGGGTTGCAGTGGCGGTGGTGGAGGTGAGGACTGAAGGGGCCGTCCATAAATTGACGTCACGCGATTTTGGACGATTTTTTACCCCCCCCCTCCCAGTCGTCACACAGAGTCAGACCCCTCCCCCCCTCAAATATGACGTCACAAAGCTCTGCCCCCCCCCCCCCCAAAAATAAAACATGCTTCAAATCGCTTTAAACTATTGTCATTGTAGTGCGTATTTAATGTGGCGCTGCACTCTGACGTTGTATGAGAAAACATTTATTAAAAAGTCTATGTAATTAAGTAGAACGTGTTGTCTATATTTATTTAAAGTTGCGCATTTTGATGTGACGTCACATTTCTCAACCCCCCCCAATCGTCACACATCGTCACAAATGTCTGACCCCCCCCCCCCCCCAGGTGCGTGACGTCATTTATGGACGGCCCCGAAGAGGAACGCATGGGTGTGTGTGGGGTGGGGGTTGGGGGGGGGTCGAGGCAACGCAATTCGGGTGGCGGCAGCGGTTTGAGTTGTAAAACGCCGACGTTGACTTTGCGAAACGACGTAAAATGGGGAGGGGGTGCGAGAGACGGGGGTATGACTGAAATTTAATTATTACTTTCCCACGAGACAGTCGCAGGAGGGTTTCCTGATTGCTGCTACATTGCAGTTTTATTGAATGTTTTCAGTCAATTACGGGTGTGTGTTCACGTGTGATTCACGTGTGTGTACGTTCACGTGTGTGTGCGTGTGGGGAGCGGTGGTGCAGCAGTTATCCCGCTGCGCTACGAACCCGGTGACCCGAGTTCGATTATTCTTGCTCACGGCCAACACCAGCGGCGATTATCTGAACCGGCCCTGGGCCTCCCCTAGGTCGACTCAGTCTCAAATGAGGACCTGGTGCGATGTGTAAAAACGTCGCCACTAGGGAGACAAAGGAGGCCGGGCGTGGTGCTGGCCACCCACCCCCTCGTGTGCCGTGCCGGCCTTCATAGGTGCTCGCTAACAGAATTTGCCCCAACAGTTTAAGGCTATACGGGGGATCTTTGTCTTAGTGTGTGTGTGTGGAGCTGAGTGGACTTGTCGATGTCCGGTACCAGCAGTATCCAGATCGGCCTCCTCCGGCAGGCAAGGCTGCATTGGCTGGGTCATGGAACCCGCATGCCCAGCCACCGCATGGCTAAACAGCTTTTGTTCGGTCGGATAGAGGGGGCTAGACGGGCGCGGCACGGGCTAGAGAAGAGATGGAGTGATGTGGTACAGGAGGATGTGGAGCCGAGTGGACTTGCCGACCGGTACCAGCGGTGTCAAGATTGGCCTCTGTGGAGGAGGCTCGTGAAGGACGCTACTGGCCAGTTGGAGGCAGTCGCCCTCCAACAACAACGAAGGGCGGAGGAGCGACGCTCACAACAACGAGCGCAGTGCCGAGTAGCTAAAATGCAACAAGTTGGCACAGTCGGGGGCAGAGGTGGTGCATCGGCCACTCATCTCGGTCAGTCAACCCACGACACCACCTGGGCCTGCCCCGTGACCTCCTCCTGCCAAGCGGGCGTTCGACACTTCACGTGGCCTCGGAGTGCACCTAGCCTGGCACAGGCGCCGCGGCGACGTCACCGCCACTGAGTGGCGAATTTCGGCTGTTGCGTTCACGTATTGCGTGGGTGTGTTCACGGGTCGTGAGAGTGTTCAGGGCGATTGTTAACGATCACGATGGTGACGGTGGACTCGGTAATGGTTGCAGCATTGGCAAGGAGACTCGCAGTGCGGCCGGCAGTAACATCGTGGCCGCTCTCAGAGATTGGCCGCAAGGATTTGGGCCCGACCGTCGGCCTCCCCCGGCGCTGGGCCCCCCTCTTGCCAACACTCCCAGGACTCTCTGCGAGGCTGGGCAAATACGTGCCCGAAGGACTCCTGAAGTGGGCAACGGAGTACTTTTATTTCAGAATACAGGAACTCACTACTAAAGGCGTTGATGCAACAGAACCTAGCAACACGCACCGTTACAACCAACACCACCACCGCACCACCACCACCGCTGCCACCACCACCACGAAGCTACATTACTCCGCAAGCGTTTAAAAAGGCACAAGGGATTTTTTACTCGTTAAATGGAAAATCAACGCCGCACCCGACATAACACCTAACTATAGCGGTCAGGACACGAGTTGATACTCCGGTCAGGGGGTTGGGTTTCTGATGAACTTCAACTCTGGGGGCTGTTAAACTTATTTTAGTCTGTGGGTCTCTGTGTGTCTGTGGGTCTCTGTGTGAGTCCGTGGGTCTCTGTGCGAGTCCGTGGGTCTCTGTGCGAGTCCGTGGGTCTCTGTGCGAGTCCGTGGGTCTCTGTGCGAGTCCGTGGGTCTCTGTGCGAGTCCGTGGGTCTCTGTGCGAGTCTGTGGGTCTCTGTGAGAGTCTGTGGGTCTCTGTGAGAGTCTACGGGTCTCCCTGTGAGTCTGTGGGTCGCTGTGCGAGTCTATGGGTCTTTTTGTGAGTCTGAGTCTCTGTGTGCATCTATGGGTCTCTGTGGGAGTCTGTGGGTCTCTATGCGTGTCATTGGTGATGAGCATCCGGTTGAATCCCCGCTTAACCGAGACACGTATTTGATCGCATCTGAGTGGTTGCCGGCTCAGTGTCCCCGACACAGCCATTATGAGCCCACATTAAATAACTTCATATAAAACCTGTACTATTGCAAGAGTGCTAATGATAACTTGTTTATTGTATAGAGAGGCCGGGTGTCACCGTGGTCCGAATCGCCGACTCACAAACCGCAGAGGCACAAGTTAAACTCCTGGTCAGGAGTAACGAACTTCGGCAGAGGCAGCTCTAAGCCAGGAGTGGTACTCCCACGTTACCTTGACGGGGGGGCCAGTATATCCATCCGACGAACCGTTGTTCAATTCCCACAAATGAGTGCTTTTCAGTTCGTTTCTGATCGAAGACATCGATTTGTGACGTTGATTGGCAAGGCCGGCCTCTTACCAATAGCTCAACTAGCGCCCTTGCGACCACGAGTCCCGGAGTCACAGCGACCCCCGATCATCGGAATACAGGAGGAGGGAGGGGTCGGTTTCACTTGGAAACAGGGGAACTCCACAATGAGACGGAGAGGGAAGGGGGAGAGGGGAGATCGAGTGGGGAGACGGGGAAGGGGAGAGAGGGGATGGGGGGGAAGGGGAGAGAGGAGATGGAGAGGGAAGAGGAGAGATGGAGAGGGGAGATGGAGGTGGGGAAGGGGAGAGAGGGGAGATGGAGAGGGGAGATGGAGAGGGGAGATGAGAGGGGAGAGGAGAGAGAGAGGGGGAAGGGGAGATGAGAGGGGAGAGGAGAGACAGAGAGGGGGAAGGGGAGATGAGAGGGGAGAGGGGAGACAAGAGAGGGGGAAGGGGAGAAGGGAGATGGAGAGGGGAGATGAGAGGAGAGACAGAGAGGGGGGAAGTTGAGAGGGGAGAGCCGCGAGCGAGGGAGCTGTCAATCTGCACGGCGCCCCTCCGTCCGTACCGTCCGCACCGTCTATGTCGCCGGGATCTGCGGCAGCCCAAACTCGTCGACCAGAACCCCGTCCTGCGGGGGCGACACAGCACAGCCAGGGCCGTAGGCGGGTGCCGGTGTGAGTGTGTGGTCAAACAGGTGTGTGTGTGTGTGCAGCAGGTGAGTGTATGGTGCAGCAGGTGTGTGTGTAGTGCAGCAGATGTGTGTGTGTGTGTTGCAGCAGGTGCGTGCGTGTGTGTGCAGCGGGTGAGTGTGTGTTGTGCAGCAGGTGTGTTTGCAGGTATGTGTGTGTTTGCGTGCAGCAGGTGTGTACATCAGGTGTGTGTGGTGCAGCAGGTGCGTGTGTGTGTTGTAAGGAGAAGCAGTGGGGCAGTTGTGAGTACACTTCGCAACGAACCTGGGGACCCGACTTCGATGCCCGCTCACATCCAACCACAGTGGCCAATATCTGACAAGGTCCTGGCCCTCCCCTAGGTAGACTCAGCCTTAAATGAGTAGCCACTGCTGTGTGTAAACATCACCACTGGGGAAACAACGGTGGCCGGGTGTGGTGGTGGTGGTGGTGGTGTTAGCCAGACCACTTCCTCGTGCGCCGTGCCAACCTTCATAAGTGCTACTCGCTAACAGCAGTTTCCCAACACACTTGTGGAGGCTAAACTACTATTTACTATTTTTATTTTACCAGGTAAGGCCCACTTAGCTGTATTGCTCTTCATCATTAGACCTCCTTTGCCAGTACCAAAATGTAATAATAGGGTTAATCCCCTTTTTCTGGCAACAAAACTGAAACGTTTTTACAAGGATTCCTGTCTGCATTAACCACAATACCTGCCGTCAAAATGTAAACAAGAAAAAACATACTATGATAATATATGCATTGTCCTTGAAACTGATTGGTCCACACCAATCCCAATCCCCTGATTGGTCCACACCAATCCCAATCCCTTGGTGTGGACCAATCAGTTTCAAGGACAATGCATATATTATCATAGTATTTTTTTGTTTGCATTTTGACTGCAGGTATTGTGGTTAATGCAGACATGAATCCTTGTAAAAAGGTTTCAGTTTTCTTGCCAGAAAAAAGGGGAAAAACCCTATTATTATATATTGCTCTTTTTCAGAAGCCACCTGGCCACAAATGATAGCTCAACGAAGTGGCTTAACATGTGGACATTTTTTAGCAGCCAAATACTTTTAAACGCGCCACGTTGATTATAAATGTGGAGGTGAAAAACCGGAGGACCCGGAGGACAATCCAAGCGACCACGGGGAGAACATGCGAACTCCAAAAATACAGGCATCAGGGTTGGGATCAAACCCACGACCTCCTTTATAGCAGGCGAGATAGTTAACATCACCTAGCCACCGTGATGATGAGAGAGAGAGAGAGACACACAAACTCCAAATCTACAGCAGCAGGCATCAGGGTCGGGATCGAACCCACGACCTGCTGCATACCAGGCGAGGTGGTCAACATCTTGCCACAGGCTACACGGGGGATCTTTGTGTGCTTGCATGTGAGGCAGCCCGCCCCCCCCCCACCCCCCCCCTGCCCCACCGGCCCACCTTGGTGACGCTCTTGTCGCCCGGCAGGCCGGACGGGATGGCAGGAGCCGACGACGCCTCGTCCAGGTAGGAGGTGTCTTCATCGGCGAGCATCTCATCCCCCAGCGCCGCCAACTCTGATCGCGGCCGCCGCCCACCGCCGCCCCACCACAACAACAAAACACAGGGGTCAGAGGTCGTCCCGAGGCCCTGACCGCGTCACCCGGACGGCGCTGTTGGCGCCGCGGTCACGGCACGAGGAATCCCTTCGGGAATCTCGCAGTGAGCAGCGGGGTGCCTCCTCCGCCGTCTTGGGATATCGTAGAGCTACTTATGAAACCACAAGATTGGAGAAACTCCGCATTAAGCGGGTTCAATTGATTTCTTCACTGGCGTTCCTCAAAAGGTGCAGAGATTCAAAGGTAATACCAAACGCAGTTAAAATAACACATCACATAAAGCCTGTTAAAGCTAACCAAATACTACACAAAGCTAGCGAATTATTATTACTGGAGAGAATACAGCACAACAGGAGTGAATTATCTCAAATTTCTGAGTCCCTAAAGTGCTTGCACATCAGCAATAGTGTTTCCATACATGATTGGAATATAATCGAAACTATAACACAACAATCGGCTGATAATATATTTAATCTAACTAAAACTAAGCAGTCTCTATGTGAAGCTATCAGTCTCTATGCAAGTCTCTGGATCTCAACGTGAGTAGAAGAGTCTCTATATCAGTCTATGAGTCTCTATGGGAATATCACCTTCGATGCGAGTCTATGGGTCTCTATGCAAGTCTACGGGTCTCTATGTGAGTCTATGGGTCTCTACACGAGTCTATGGGTCTCTATGTGAGTCTATGGGTCTCTAAGCGAGTCTATGGGTCTTCTATGCAAGTCTATGGGTCTCTATGTGAGTCTGTGGGTCTCTATGTGAGTCTATGGGTCTCTATGTGAGTCTATGGGTCTCTATGTGAGTCTATGGGTCTCTAAGCGAGTCTATGGGTCTCTATGCGAGTCTATGGGTCTCTAAGCAAGTCTATGGGTCTCTACGCGAGTCTATGGGTCTCTACACGAGTCTATGGGTCTCTATGTGAGTCTATGGGTCTCTAAGCGAGTCTATGGGTCTTCTATGCAAGTCTATGGGTCTCTATGTGAGTCTGTGGGTCTCTATGTGAGTCTATGGGTCTCTATGTGAGTCTATGGGTCTCTATGTGAGTCTATGGGTCTGTATGTGAGTCTATGGGTCTCTATGCGAGTCTATGGGTCTCTAAGCGAGTCTATGGGTCTCTATGTGAGTCTATGGGTCTCTACACGAGTCTATGGGTCTCTACGTGAGTCTATGGGTCTCTAAGCGAGTCTATGGGTCTTCTATGCAAGTCTATGGGTCTCTATGTGAGTCTGTGGGTCTCTATGTGAGTCTATGGGTCTCTATGTGAGTCTATGGGTCTCTATGTGAGTCTATGGGTCTGTATGTGAGTCTATGGGTCTCTATGCGAGTCTATGGGTCTCTAAGCGAGTCTATGGGTCTCAATGTGAGTCTGTGGGTCTCTATGTGAGTCTATGGGTCTCTACACGAGTCTATGGGTCTCTATGTGAGTCTATGGGTCTCTATGTGAGTCTATGGGTCTCTATGTGAGTCTATGGGTCTCTAAGCGAGTCTATGGGTCTCTATGTGAGTCTATGGGTCTCTATGTGAGTCTGTGGGTCTCTATGTGAGTCGATGGGTCTCTACACTGGTCTATGGGTCTCTATGTGAGTTTATGGGTCTCTATGCGAGTTCATGGGTCTCTATGCGAGTCTAAGGGTCTCTATGCGAGTCTATGGGTCTCTATGCGAGTCTATGGGTCTCTATGTGAGTCTATGGGTCTCGATGCGAGTCTATGGGTCTCTGTATGAGTCTATGGGTCTCTGTATGAGTCTATGGGTCTCTGTGTGAGTCTATGGGTCTCTATGTGAGTCTATGGTTCTCTGTGTGAGTCTATGGGTCTCTGTGTGAGTCTATGGGTCTCTATGCGAGTCTATGGGTCTCTATGCGAGTCTATGGGTCTCTATGCGAGTCTATGGGTCTCTATGCGAGTCTATGTGTCTCTATGGGAGTCTATGGGTCTCTATGTGAGTCTATGGGTCTCTATGTGAGTCTATGGGTCTCTATGTGAGTCTATGGGTCTCTATGTGAGTCTATGGGTCTCTACGCGAGTCTATGGGTCTCTATGCGAGTCTATGGGTCTCTACGCGAGTCTATGGGTCTCTATGTGAGTCTATGGGTCTCTATGCGAGTCTACGGGTCTCTATGTGAGTCTATGGGTCTCTACGTGAGTCTAAGGGTCTCTACGCGAGTCTATGGGTCTCTATGTGAGTCTATGGGTCTCTCTGTGAGTCTATGGGTCTCTACGCGAGTCTATGGGTCTCTATGTGAGTCTATGGGTCTCTATGTGAGTCTATGGGTCTCTATGTGAGTCTATGGGTCTCTATGTGAGTCTATGGGTCTCTATGTGAGTCTATGGGTCTCTATGTGAGTCTATGGGTCTCTATGTGAGTCTATGGGTCTCTATGTGAGTCTATGGGTCTCTATGCGAGTCTATGGGTCTCTACGCGAGTCTATGGGTCTCTATGCGAGTCTATGGGTCTCGATGTGAGTCTATGGGTCTCTATGTGAGTCTATGGGTCTCTGTGTGCGTCTATGGGTCTCTGTGTGAGTCTATGGGTCTCTGTGTGAGTCTATGGGTCTCTGTATGAGTTTCTGGGTCTCTACGTGAGTCTATGGGTCTCTACGCGAGTCTATGGGTCTCTATGCGAGTCTATGGGTCTCTGTGTGAGTCTATGGGTCTCTATGTGAGTTTCTGGGTCTCTGTGTGAGTTTCTGGGTCTCTGTGTGAGTCTATGGGTCTCTGTGCGAGTCCATGGGTCTCTATGTGAGTCTATGGGTCTCTATGTGAGTCTATGGGTCTCTGTGTGCATCTATGGGTCTCGATGTGAGTCTATGGGTCTCTATGTGAGTCTATGGGTCTCTGTGTGCGTCTATGGGTCTCCGTGTGAGTCTATGGGTCTCTGTGTGAGTCTATGGGTCTCTATTCGAGTCTATGCGTCTCTACACGAGTCTATGGGTCTCTACGTGAGTCTATGGGTCTCTATGTGAGTCTATGGGTCTCTATGTGAGTCTATGGGTCTCTATGTGAGTCTATGGGTCTCTACGCGAGTCTACGGGTCTCTGTGTGAGTCTATGGGTCTCTGTGTGAGTCTATGGGTCTATGTGTGAGTCTACGGGTCTCTGTGTGAGTCTATGGGTCTCTGTGTGAGTCTATGGGTCTATGTGTGAGTCTACGGGTCTCTGTGTGAGTCTATGGCTCTATATGTGAGTCTACGGGTCTCTGTGTGAGTCTACGGGTCTCTATGCGAGTCTATGCGTCTCTACACGAGTCTATGGGTCTCTACGCGAGTCTATCAGTCTCCACGCGAGTCACTGATGACCGGCCTAAGCCCACTGACTCGCCACACTGCAGAACCACGGTGTGACTACGGGCGGCCGAGAGTCGGATTTGAACCCGGGACCCTCAGGTCCCTGGGCTCGGTGTTTGGGACCTTCCGCGGGTGCCAGCGCACTCAGGCGGGGGCCCTTGATGGACGTCACGGGCTCAGGTGTCGAGGTGAACGCTTCGACCGGCCTAGGGTCACCGTGCCTCCAAACCTGACCCCTCACCTGCCTCGAGGTCATCGTCGTCCACCTCGGGGGTGCCGTAGCTCCGGCTCAGCGAGTCCTGGATCTCGCTGGCGTCCTCCATCATGTCCTCCATCTGGTCTTGCAGGTCCTGAGTGTGAGCGGGGACACAGTGGTGAGGTGGGGACGCGGCAACACGGAGATGTGGAGGCACGGGAGGCGAGGAAAAGAGGATACGGGGGGGGGGAAGAAGACGCAAGAATATGGGGATGGGGAACACGGGGACAGGGAGACACGGGGACAGGGAGACACCGAAACAACGGGACAGGGAGACACGGGGACAGGGAGACACCGAGACACCGGGTCAGGGAGACACGGGGACATGGAGACACCGAGACACCGGGACAGGGAGGCACAGGGAAGTGGAGACACTGAGACCCTGGGACGTGGAGACACGGGGACAGGGAGACACAGAGACACCGGGGGACAGGGAGACACGGTAACGTGGAGACACGGGGACAGGGAGACACGGGGACAGGGAGAAGCGGTGATGCGAGTTCATGGAGAATCGGCAACACAGGGACACAAAGACACGGACACGTGGGGACACAGCCGACCCAGAGAAACAGCGACACGGAGACAAGGGAGACATGGAGACAAGGGACAAGGGGGACACGGAGTCGCAGGCGACACGACTGAAGAGACCAGCAGTGGACAAAAGCTCCAGATACCAGACCCCTTCCAAAAGATCCCCTATAATCTTGACGATCCCTCCATGATTCCTTATGATCCCAGTGTCTGCCTGAAAATCCTCATCTCATCTCCGTGACTCTCCGTGATGCCCCCCAGTGCAGTCCCACGTGGTCCCTCCTTGATCCTCCGTGATCCCTCCGTGCAGTCCCACGTGGTCCCCCCGTAATCCTCCGTGATCCCCCCATGATCCCCCGTGGTGCCCCAATGATTCCCTAGAGATTCTACCCCCCCCCCCACCTCCCCCCACGATCCCTCCCACCCCCCCGGTGATCTCCACGTGATCCCCGCGCGGGCCTCACCTCGATCTGGTCGATGTTCACCTTCTTGTAGGCTTTCTTCATCTCCTTGGCTCCCACCTTCATGGCGTCCACCTGGGGGCAAAAGGCGGCGGAGGGGGAGGGCATCAAAGGCCAATCCCGCCGCGTCCACCACTCATCCCGCAGTTCGTTAAAAGGCAAAGGTGCGGCCCTGCAATTGCCCGCTCGCGCGCCACCGCTGCCGGAAGGACCTCCTCCGCCCGGGGGGGGGGGCTCCCGAGCGGTGTTTGGTCTACTCTTCCACGCCGATTAAGACGTGTTGGAAGAGACAGGCCTGCCCACACTTTACCCCGCCACACGCGGCGTACCCTGCCGGCCGACTGCGGTACAGCCGTGCACACCGGGGGAGGATACAGAGAAACGCCGTCACAGAGTGGCGAGCCGGGATTTTAGCGCGTCTCTTAAGACTCGGCCCATTGCGAACCTGGTGGAAGAGAGAGGGGGGCACCCAGGCTCTCAAACTCAACCCTGGCTCTTGGAATTGCGAGGCCAGGGAGCCTGACCTTGGCGTTATGAACGCCCAGAGGGTTAGAGAGGAAGTCGGCCCTGGTGCCTCAGCCTCTGACACGGCCATGACGAACCTCCTGGGCCCGCAGCGGGCGTCTATGCGCGAGGTTTACCGTGGTCTTGGTGTCTTTCAGGGTCTGGATGGTGTAGTTGGCCTGTTCCATGTTGAACGCCTGTTGGCTGAGCTGGTCTCTCTGACCTTCGTACCTACAAAACACAAAACAAAGAGCAACCCGTCCAAACATTACATGTTCGTTTGCATGGCGCATGTTTACCGAGGAATGCCCGAGTCACAAGACTCTTGTTCTTCCAGGAGGGTGGTGCCTGAATGTTGAAGTAGGGGGGGAATGATGAGGATGATGATGTTGATGTTGCTCCTGTTGCTGTGTGTGATCACAATCAAAGAGCGTCATAGCTCATCGGATTTATTCCAGTACAAATAAACATTCAGATTCGGAGTAACTCGAAGGTCGTTTTTCAGGATCGGGATGTTTTGGCCGATATCGTTAAGGTAGCACGATAATTTTTTTGTTTGTTTAGGTTATGCGAGGACAGTGGAGAAGCCGGAGGAAACCCATGCAGAACAGCGGGAGAAAGAACGCACAGTAAAACCTTGGATTGCGAGCATAATTCGCTCCGGAAACGTGTTTGTAATCCAAAGCACTCGTATATCAAAGCACTCGTATATCAGTTGCGATCACGTGACGCTCGGCAGACAAAGCGTATATACGTACTGCTCGTATTGCAAGACCCTCGCTCGTTTATCAAATTAATATTTATTTAAAAAATTTTGCTCGGCTTACAAAACACTCGCAGGCCAAGTTACTCGCAATGCAAGGTTTTCCTGTACACACTTCCCACTCGCTCTCTCTCACTCGCACTCACCCACTCCCACTCACACTCTGCAGAACAAAAGGGGAACGCACAAACCCTACGCGTCTGGGAATCGAACCCAGGAGCCTGTTGCTGTGGAGCGCGAGTGTCACCAACTGTGCCGCCAGTACCCTGCTTCCCCTAAGCGTACACGTGTGTGTGCGCGCGTGCGTGAGTGTGCAAAGCGTGTGTGCACGTGGGGGGAGCGGTGGCGCAGTGGTTAGCGCACTGCACTACACGGCCCTGGCGACCCGAGTCCGATTCCCGCTCACGGTCAACACCGGTGACGATTAGCTGAACTGGTCGTGGGCCTCCCCTAGGTCAAGTCGGCCTCAGATGAGTACGCGGTTGTGTAAACGTCGCCACTCGAGAGACAAAGGCGGCCGGGTGTGGTGCTGGCCACCCACCCCCTCGTGTGCCGTACCGGCCTCAAATAGGTGCTACTCGCTAACAGCACTCGCCCCTACAGTCTTTTTATGGAAGTCTTTTTAAGGTTATACGGGGCGGGGGCATCTTTGTCGTTGGACGTATGCCACGCGCGTTACTTACATGCGCTTCTGCTTGAGAACCCGCAGGGCCTTTTGCTTCACCATGTTCTGCAACACAGACGGAACACGGCACGCATGTTACAGTCAGGGAATAATAACGACAACAATAATAATCACTCGCAACGCTGCGCCGCCATCGCACAGGGCTCGCACCTCGCTCTCGAAGACAGAGGGAGGGAGGGAGGGAGGCGCGAAGAGGAATGACAGACGAGGAGCAGGAAGGCAGCAGCAGCAGCCACACGCTGAGCCGGCACCAACTTCCCTCCTCCAAGCTGTTGGGGTCCTCTATATATGGAGATGCTATCATCGGATAATCGATGAGTGATTACGTGTGGGAGGAAGCCGGAGTACCCGGAGAAAACTCAGACGTGCGAAGGGGCAACACTCTATCCCATGCAGAAAGGACGGATGATATTAGTCCGCACTCCTGGCAAGGCAAGGTATGCGGCACCTCCTCAACGCCCACAGGAAGGGAGTTTCACAAAATCTGTGCGGGATCCACCAACCCTTGTGCAGCATAACTACCACCGCCACAGACAGCCACGTGCAGCGTAACCACCACCACCACAGACAGCCACGTGCAGTGTAACCACCACCACCACAGACAGCCACGTGCAGTGTAACCACCACCACAGACAGCCACGTGCAGTGTAACCACCACCACCACCACCACAGGCAGCCACGTGCAGCGCAACCAACACCGCCACAGACAGCCACGTGCAGTGTAACCACCACCACCACCACCACAGGCAGCCACGTGCAGCGCAACCACCTCCGCCACAGACAGCCACGTGCAGCGAAACCACCACCACCACAGACAGCCACGTGCAGCGTAACCACCACCGCCCGCTCGTGGGCTACACAGAGGTCGTCAGTGTCTGTCACCTTGGAAGGGCCGTCGCGCATCTTCGCCATCTGGTCCTTGTACTTCTTGAGTTCGGCTTCCAGGCGTGCGATCTTCTTGTCGATGGACTCGCCCCGTCCCTCGACCTGCGGGGTGGAGCGGTCCCACACCTCTTTAGCGACGCCACGGTCACACACTTCCGGAGGGTTCTGCTACATCGTTTGGATGTTTGGCCAACACCAATGACGATGTGCATGTGTGTGTTTCTTCAGCTATAGGAGGAGGCAACCGGAGAATCCGGAGGAAACCTGTGGAGGAGAACAGGGGGAGAACACACAAACTCCACGCAGAAACAAACCTGTCAAACCAATATCACCGCCTACCTTGTTACAGACCAATTCAGACCTTATTGGTCACCCCGTGCCCTCAACGTTCATCCTACAAAGTCCCATCATAAGGGAGAAACACAAAGACAATTTTTTGTTGCCCGTATTGAAACGGATGTACGCCGTATGGTAAACCGTATGGGTTGACGTGGAATGCCGAGAGGCACCCTCCTCATCGGGAATCGAACCCAGTCCCGTCGTGCTCGCGATGCGCGAGCGTCACACCGCTGCGCCGCCACCCTGCCGCCCTACGTGTCCTCGGAGAGTCCTCGAGTCGGGTCCACGGCACCATCATCAACTGTGTCGCCGTCCTTTCTGCTTAGGGTAGACAAACTCGGAGGCCCGCGCTGACCCCGAGAGCTGACGTTGGATCCGTTTGCCGTGTGACCCTCATCTATGCTGCCCCATGCCGGCGGCAAACGGCGGCGGCCATCGCCGCGTCGCTTGTGATCGCTGCTGCGCCCGTCGGTGGCAGAAGCGGGGTTTTGTCCGTCAGGGTCAAACAGGCAGCACGGTCGTCCCGAGGTTCACCACGCAGCCTGCTCCATGTGCGCGTTTCCCAGGTTGGTGCTTTTTTTTCTCTTTCCAAAAGTATTTTTTGTTAACCAAAACGATTCACCTATGCGCAGGGGATATGAAAATCTTCGTGGTTTTTTGGGGGGGAAAACCCGTTATTCGTTAATTTCTCACATCATCATATTACCATCACGTAATCGTCATCACCACCACATCCACATCATCTGACCACCATCATAACATGCTGGACATCTGTGAAAAAGAGTTTTATAGCTCATCGGATTCCTCCAGTATATAATAAAGTTTCTGATTGTGACACCCCCATCAACGTCACATCAACACCCCGTGCCTATCACCGTCACATCATCACCGCACCACCCACATTGTGTAATGGGTCACGAGACGGTGACGTCACCCCGAAGAGCCGCGCCTCGCGAAGAAACAATAACACTAACACTCTGACACTAACACTCAGACACTAACACCCTGACACTAACACCCTGGCCCTGACACTAACACTATGACACTAACACCCTGACACTAACACCCTGGCCCTGACACTAACACTATGACACTAACACTCTGACACTAACACCCTGACACTAACACCCTGACACTAACACCCTGACACTAACACCCTGACACTAACACCCTGGCCCTGATACCTACATTCAGACACTAACACCCTGACACTAACACTAACACTCTGACACTAACACCCTGGCCCTGACACTAACACCCTGACACTAACACCCAGACACTAACACCCAGACACTAACACTCTGACACTAACACTCTGACACTAACACTCTGACACTAACACCCTGACACTAGCACACAGACACTAACACACAGACACTAACACAACGACACTAACACACAGACACTAACACACTGACACTAACACTCTGACACTAACACCCTGACACTAACACTCTGACACTAACACCCTGACACTAACACCCTGACACTAACACCAGAGTGAAAGCAGTAAGCACGCAAGCGAGCCCCGATTCCCAACCCCAACACGGAGGCCACACAACCACGAACGCCTTCAGCAACGACCACAACAACTGTGAGCATGCCGCTGCCAGCCATCAGCCAAACACAACAAGAAGCCCCAATAGCGGCCCCGTGGTACCTAGAGCAAGCCCTGCCCCTTGACCCGTAACACACAGCACCTGAGTTCTGAACGAACACCCCGAATCCAACTTAGGATTTGGACGTAACGAGTTGTGGAGTGGGGGGGTGCTAGCCTGGGACCGTATTGAGGTTCACGATGGCAATGATCATCACGCTCTTCATTTTGCCACTGGAGTGCCAAGTGAGTCCTAAGGGTGAGTCTCGTTCACCGTGAATACCGTGGGTTACTCTGTCGGTGAGCCACTGCGAGTCGCATCAGGGAGTTAACGTGAGTCTCATTAGCGGGTTACTGTGAGTGGGTTACTGTGAGTCCCATCAATGAGTTACTGTGAGTGAGTTACTGTGACTGAGTTACAGTGAGTCCCATCAGTGAGTTACTATGAGTGAGTCCCATCAGTGAGTGAGTCCCATCAGTGAGTGAGTCCCATCAGTGAGTTACTATGAGTAAGTTACTATGATTGAGTTACTGTGAGTCCCATCAGTGAGTTACTGTGAGTGAGTCCCATCAGTGAGTTACTCGGAGTTACTGTGAGTCCCATCAGTGAGTCCCATCAGTGAGTTACTGTGAGTGAGTCCCATCAGTGAGTGAGTCCCATCAGTGAGTTACTGTGAGTGAGTCCCATCAGTGAGTGAGTGTGAGTCCCATCAGTGAGTGAGTCCCATCAGTGAGTTACTGTGAGTGAGTCCCATCAGTGAGTCTCATCAGTGAGTGAGTCCCATCAGTGAGTGAGTCCCATCAGAGTTACTGTGAGTCCCATCAGTGAGTGAGTCGCATCAGAGTGAGTTACTGTGAGTGAGTTACTGTGAGTTAGTGTGAGTCCCATCAGTGAGTGAGTCCCATCAGCGAGTGAGTACCATCAGCGAGTGAGTACCATCAGCGAGTGCGTTAGTGTGAGTCCCATCAGTGAGTTACTGTGAGTTACTGAGTGAGTCTCATCAGTGAGCCCCATCAGAGTGAGTTACTATGAGTGAGTTACTGTGAGTGAGTCACATCAGTGAGTGAGTCCCATCAGAGTGAGTTACTGTGAGTGAGTTACTGTGAGTGAGTCCCATCAGTGAGTGAGTACCATCAGTGAGTGAGTAAATGTGAGTGAGTGTGAGTCCCATCAGTGAGTTACTGTGAGTTACTGTGAGTGAGTCTCATCAGTGAGTCCCATCAGAGTGAGTTACTATGAGTGAGTTACTGTGGGTGAGTCTCATCAGTGAGTGAGTCCCATCAGAGCGAGTCCCATCAGAGTGAGTTACTGTGAGTGAGTCCCATCAGAGTGAGTTACTATGAGTGAGTCCCATCAGTGAGTGAGTCCCATCAGAGTAAGTTACTATGAGTGAATTACTGTGAGTGAGTCCCATCAGTGAGTGAGTCCCATCAGAGTGAGTTACTGTGAGTGAGTCCCATCAGTGAGTGAGTTACTGTGAGTGAGTGTGAGTCCCATCAGTCAGTTACTGTGAGTGAGTTACTGTGAGTGAGTTACTGTGAGTGAGTCTCATCAGTGAGTCCCATCAGAGTGAATTACTATGAGTTACTGTGAGTCCCATCAGTGAGTGAGTCCCATCAGTGAGTTACTATGAGTCCCATCAGTGAGTGAGTCCCATCAGTGAGTGAGTCCCATCAGTGAGTGAGTCCCATCAGAGTGAGTTACGGAGTGAGTCCCATCAGTGAGTGAGTCCCATCAGAGTTAGTTACTGTGAGTGAGTTACTGTGGGTGAGTCCCATTAGTGAGTGAGTCCCATCAGAGTGAGTTACTGTGAGTGAGTTACTGTGAGTGAGTCCCATCAGTGAGTGAGTCCCATCAGTGAGTTACTATGAGTGAGTTACTGTGAGTGAGTGAGTCCCATCAGTGAGTGAGTTACTGTGAGTTACTGTGAGTGAGTCCCATCAGTGAGTGAGTCCCATCAGTGAGTGAGTTACTGTGAGTTACTGTGAGTGAGTCCAATCAGTGAGTGAGTCCCATCAGTGAGTGAGTTACTGTGAGTGAGTCCCATCAGTGAGTGAGTCCCATCAGTGAGTGAGTCCCATCAGTGAGTGAGTTACTGTGAGTGAGTTACTGTGAGTGAGTGTGTCCCATCAGTGAGTGAGTTACTGTGAGTTACTGTGAGTGAGTCCCATCAGTGAGTGAGTCCCATCAGTGAGTGAGTTACTGTGAGATACTGTGAGTGAGTCCCATCAGTGAGTGAGTCCCATCAGTGAGTGAGTTACTGTGAGTGAGTCCCATCAGTGAGTGAGTCCCATCAGTGAGTGAGTCCCATCAGTGAGTGAGTCCCATCAGTGAGTGAGTTACTGTGAGTGAGTTACTGTGAGTGAGTGTGTCCCATCAGTGAGTGAGTTACTGTGAGTGAGTCCCATTAGTGAGTGAGTCCCATCAGTGAGTGAGTTACTGTGAGTTACTATGAGTGAGTTACTGCGAGTTACTATGAGTTACTGTGAGTGAGTTACTATGAGTTACTGTGAGTGAGTTACTGTGAGTTACTGTGAGTCCCATCAGTGAGTCCCATCAGTGAGTGAGTCCCATCAGTGAGTGAGTTACTATGAGTGAGTTACTGTGAGTGAGTTACTATGAGTGAGTTACTGTGAGTGAGTTACTATGAGTGAGTTACTGCGAGTTACTATGAGTGAGTTACTGTGAGTGAGTTACTGTGAGTTACTATGAGTGAGTTACTGTGAGTGAGTTACTGTGAGTGAGTTACTATGAGTGAGTTACTGTGAGTGAGTTACTATGAGTGAGTTACTGTGAGTGAGTTACTATGAGTGAGTTACTGTGAGTGAGTTACTATGAGTGAGTTACTGTGAGTTACTCACACTCTGGATGCAGTCGGTGAGGTTGGGCGGAGGCCCTTTGGGCTTAGCGCGACCGAACAGTCGATTCATGTCGGACAGAGAGTTCCTTTCGCCTGCTGTAGTCGCCTCTACTCCACAATCCCTGCTGCTGCTGTTGCTACGAGTCGGTACTCCTCCTGCGAGTCCCTACTCCTCCTGCGAGTCCGTACTCCTCCTGATAGCCCGTACTCCTCCTGCTAACCCGTACTCCTCCTGCGAGTCCGTACTCCTCCTGCTAGCCCGTACTCCTCCTGCTAACCCGTACTCCTCCTGAGAGCCTGTACTCCTCCTGCTAGTCCGTACTCCTCCTGCTAACCCGTACTCCTCCTGCTAGTCCGTACTCCTCCTGCTAGCCCGTACTCCTCCTGCTAACCCGTACTCCTCCTGCTAGCCCGTACTCCTCCTGATAGTCCGTACTCCTCCTGCTAGTCCGTACTCCTCCTGCTAGCACGTACTCCTCCTGCTAGTCCGTACTCCTCCTGATAGTCCGTATTGCTACTACGAGGCTACCAACTCACTTCCGGCTTCACTCAACGCTCCGGTGACGTCATCACGCTTTCGATGACATCATCACGTCGGCCACGCCGTCCAAGCCGAACGGGTTTTTCTCCCCGCAAAAGACCGCGACGACGTCACCGCGCTCCGATTGCGCGACGACGTCGACGTGCACGTTGCGTCATCCGCCTCGGTCGCGCGTGACTGAGGGCGGGGGAGGGGCTGCACTAAAGTTTTGACGTCACGATTTGAAGCGAAACCCTCGTGTGACGTCACGTCGCAGGTAATTTCTTCGAATGACGTCACGCCGTCGGAGCGACACTTCGCCGATGAGACCCAGTGACGTGACAAGCCACTGGGAGACCCTTAGGGGCCGTCTATAAATGACGTCACGCACCTGGTGGGGGGGGGGGGGTCAGACATTTGTGACAATGTGTGACGAGGGGGGGGGAAGTTTGAGAAATGTGACGTCACATCAAAATGCGCAACTTTAAATAAATATAGACAACACGTTCTACTTCATTAAATAGACTTTTTAATAAATGTGTTCTCCTACAACATCAGAGTGCGGCGCTACATTAAATACGCGCTGCAATGACAATAGTTTAAAGCGATTTGAAGCATGGTTTATTTGGGGGGGGGGGGGGGGCAGAGCTTTGTGACGTCATATTTGAGGGGGTGTCTGACTTTTTGTGACGCCATGTGACGAGGTGGGGGGAGGTCAAAAATCGCGTGACGTCATTTATGGACGGCCCATAAACGTGTCAACCCATGCGGTTTCACAGCGTATTCTTGTGCAGGGAAATTTCGTTTTCAGGTCCACACGGCGTACAGCCGTTTCGATACGGGCAACAAACATTGTTTATGTCTCTTTAGGGGCCGTCCATAAAGATCGCCGCCCCCTAAAATATGACATCACAAAACTCTGCCCCCCCCCAAAAAAACACATGCTTCAAATCGCTTTAAACTATTGTCATTGTAGTGCGTATTTAATGTGGCGTTGCACTCTGATGTCGTAGGAGAAAACATTTATTAAAAAGTCTATTTAATTAAGTAGAACGTGTTGTCTGTATTTATTTAAAGTTGCGCATTTTGATGTGACGTCACATCTCTCAACCCCCCCCCCCCTCTCGTCACACATCGTCACAAATGTCTGACCCCCCCCCAGGTGTGTGAAGTCATTTATGGACGGCCCCTTCACACGTAGGCTTTCTCCACCATAATCCATAATACAGGTTTTTTTGGGTTGTATCGCGTAAATATTATTGGGTTTTTGGGGGGGATTTTTGTCTATTTGTTTGTGTTTCTCCCTTGTGAAGGGACTTTGTGGAGGATGAACGTTGCGATTTATAAGGGAACGCGGGGTGACCAATACGATATGAATTGGTCTGTGACAAGGCAGGGCACTGATAAGGTGTTGACAGGTATGGAGACCCACAGAGATACACAGAGACACACAGAGGTCTACAGAGACACACAGAGACCCCACAGAGACACATACCTGTCAACCCATATGCGTTTTACCCCGTATTATTTTACAGAGAAATTGAGTTTCCAGGTCCATACAGCAGCGTACAGCCGTTTCAACGCGGGAAACAAAAACAATTGTCTATGTGCTTGTGTTTCTCCCTTGTGATGGGACTTTGTAGGATGAACGTTGCGATTTATTAGGGGCACGTGGGGTTACCGATACGGTATGAATTGGTCTGTAATAAGGTATGGCACTGATAAAGGATTGACATGTATGCTACTGCCTCAACGAATTCTGTTTGTACGACCTCGATATACCAAAATGAGGGGATAAAAAGTGATGATATTTTTAAACCATGTGGATATGTTTTTTTTTCCTCCGGGTCCTTCGGTTTTGCCCTCCACATTTCACAACACGTGTTTAACGAGAGAGCACACCGACATACGAAAGGGCTGCGTAGGCATTGCCCCATCGGTCACAGCCAATCAGGGCTACGGGTTCGATCTGGGCCAAAGTCCATGGGCGGAGCTCAGGGGTGTATGTGCGGGAACCATCGAGAAGGTTCTGAAAGGGGGCGTGGTTAGAGGCGGGGCTTTGCTCCGCCAAGGAGAGGCTGGAGCAGGAAGCCTGGGGTCCCGGACTGCATCTCCGCCATCTCATCCGCCACCAACCACGTGGCAGCCGCGGGAAAAGCTTTCCCGACCAGCGGTGCGCGGGGGAAGCGAGAGCGAGGGAAGCCGCGCGGGAACGGAGGAGCAGAGAGCCGCGTGCATGCGGCGAGAGAGAGAGAAAGAGAGGGTGCCGAGCAGCCGTAGCTAATGAAGAAAGGACGCGAGTCTCAACATGTCGTGGAAGTCGTTTATTGCACGTGTGTAGTGATGCTAGCATCACTACTGCGTACACACGCACACGTGTGACGTCACTATGCGGGGGAGTGTCACGATCACGCGGGTCTACACATGACGTCATCCCGGCTGGAGGCGGGAATGACGTCGGGGTCGGTTCTGGACTCGGGAGGCCACGAGGGTGGTGTGAGGTCGTGGCACTCTCTGTGACCCCGGCTGGACACGTGACTGGACCCCAGTGGGGGCCGGGGGCCTAGGGGGCACCTCGGGGGGCACGTGGACAGCAGGGAGGGGGGCTTCGAGAGGGTTCTCGAAGGGGGCGTGGCCGGTACGGGGCCCTGAGCACGCCGAGGCCCATATAAGCAGCCTCCACACGAGGTTCGAGGCTGCTGCCCATATCAAGAATGAAGATGCATCGTGAAGACGCCAAGAAGAGATTCGTGTGTAGGTCCCAGCCAGAGGACGCTAGGATAGCGGTAGACGTGTGAGTAAGTCCCGCGAAGACAGGAGGCTGTACCTCCCTAGAGTATCTGAGAAGTGTGTGTTAGCTAGAGTAAGTCTGTGGTCACCACCCTATGCGTAATGTAAGAGTTAACTGTTGTGTTCATTAAGAAATAAGTGTTGCCTCCCAAGAAGTTGTGTGTGCACCTAATTCGAATCCACTACACATGCATTGAGATTATTTAGATGATGTTGGTGCTATAAGTGTCCAATGATTGGGGCCACTTTGTTGAAGCTATTATTTGTGATAGCCAGATAGCTTCTGAAAAATTAGTGGATACCTCGGTGGGCTTTGCCTGCTAGGATGGAGATGGTTTCGTGTTTTATTTGTTTGTGTTTGGGTGATTTATATTCTTGGTTCTTTCGGTAAAGTCACGTAGAAGGGAAACAATAAAATAATAAAAATATAAAACAATAAAATTCTCACGACGTTTCGACTGCAACGCAAGCAATCATCATCAGGTGTGAAAACCACAAAAAGAAAATTTGAAAAAAGTGGCGGTTATTTTAAGGTGGCTTTCAGACCGCATCCATTATTTTTCGTCTCCCCCCTCCTCTTTTCCGAACATAGATGGACTCGTCCATCTGAACAAACTGTCAAATCTCTCTCCGTGGTGCTAACGTTAAAAATAAACGCCACTTTTTTCAAATTTTCTTGTGGTTTTCACAACTGATGATGATTGCTTGTGTTGCAGTCGAAACGTCGTGAGAATTTTATTGTTTTATATTTGTATTATTTTATTGTTTCCCTTCTACGTGACTTGACCGAAAGAACCAAGAATATGAATCCCTGCAGTCACGAAAGCTTTAAATCAAAATTTGGGTGATTTGTTGACCTTGTATCACTTTTGTGTTTTTGTACTGTTGTAACGTTCTTACCCCGTGCCCCTACTGAACACCTGTGACAAGAGCTTTATAGCTCATCAGATTCCTCCTGCAGTATGAATGAACTCGTAACGAAGTTGCACGTTCTGTTTAGGTGGCAACCCGTATTAGTTGGCTGTGTCGGGTGGTGGCGGGTTTGATGACACATTTATATATTTACGCGATCTAACCACAAAAAAACCTGTATTGTGGATGATATTGCCTACGCGTTGAACCAGTATGAATGAAGATTCCGATTCTGGTGATTCCATTCATCCGGCTGCACCAGCCAATCAGCTGCCAGGATGGATGACCCACGTGCAATATGGCTACCGTGAAGTCCCCCAGGTAACATGGGCCCGCCGTGACGTCATCACCCCAACAGGTCTGTTGCCGAGGTGTAAAAACAAACCTAGAAATTGTGTAGCATAAGAATAGATTTTACCCTTTCTGTCGATAAAACGGGTGTTAAGATGTTTAAAACACCAAGCAGAAACCTTTTGCAAGTGTAGAGGTTCGACAGAGGCGCGCACACTCGTGTGGAGGCAACACTATTGAACACAACTGCAACACACCCTACACATAAGGTGGTGGCCACCGTCGTGCACTCTTTCAGTTTCTGTTGATTTATTTTGGTATAGCCCTGTGAGCCATTCGGCTCTTGAATCGGGTGCAACCGGAACGAATAAAAAAAACACGAACAACAAAACATCCTAAAGTGACTATGTGACTGTGCAAACAGAAAATCCATGAAAAAAACCAGCAAAATATTCCTGAAGAAAAGCACCGTACACCAACGCTGTGTGCAAAAAATCCCAGTGGGATGCAAGTCAAACAACAACAACAACCACAAGAAAACTTAGATTAAGGCCATCAGTCTAACTCCGTACTACAACAAAACAAACATGTCCAAACCAAAAAACGTTTCGAAATCACCAAAAAATAAAGCCTTAATTGCAATGTAACAGTGATCATAAGGATTGTGACCGAATTTTTTACAATAAACTACATAAATAACATGTAACACCAAACCCTAGAGCCATAGCTGACTGCATGAGTTACTCCACAACAACAGAAGCATCAGTCAGAGTATATACATTTTCAATGCACTTTTAAGATCAGCATGCTAAATCAAAATACAGATAATACTTTGCAGCGTCATCCGGAGCGAAACATTTTATTTTATTTTACGCCAATGAATAGCAGTGGCAGCTAGGGGTGTACAACTCCTCTAGAGCAGTTTCGAGAAGATCTCATTGGTAGCGATTCAAGTTGCAGTTTATTGGCAATAGCATTCCAGACTCTGGGGGCATCAATAGCAAAGGCCCTTCCTCCAGTTTTTGTACGGCAATAGGGAATGTGAAGCTGGTAAATGAGCGAAGACTTGAGGTCAAATTTGTTCTTTGAAACAGAGAGGAGATCCAGCAGGTAGTCTGCGGA